TCCTTGAGTCACAGGGCATAAGTGAATTTCAAGCAAGATCAGGCCTCTGCTAGATCATTACACTGATTTATTGGTAGTCTCGAAAGCCTACTAAATTATGACTATACCATGATCAGCAAAGCGAGAAGTTTAAGACCATTCAATATCGTGTCCAGTTTCTGCTTTGTGCTCAGCCAGCAGATAAAGGTGGTGCATGGACCATCTTTGATATGTCAAGTTATATGGAGAGAATAATGGTTCCTTTAACTGGCTCAGAAACACATAGACGTTTAGTGAAGGATCCCACAGAGAGTCTTAAGGCCAGACCTATAGAATCGCTTAACGTTTGTGTAAGTAAAGGAGAAATTGAGAAGTGGAAAATGAAGTCACTTCTTCAAAGGGATGTTAGAGTATCTTCTGCTTACGCTCTTACAAAGATACACAAGGAGGGAGTTGCTTTAATGTTGATTGTTAATAATAATGGAAATGTGATGCATTGCATTGCATGGTTCTTATGCGGGCTATCAAGTAGAGTGGCTGGATATTGGAAATATTCAGTGAAGAATACTTATGAATTTGCTAGATTAATAGATCAACAGAGTATTAAAGAGGAGGAACTTTTGGTTAATTTCGATGTGGTATCAATGTATACAAATACTCCAGTATAAATGATCTCAAACTTTTAGTATTGCTGACTATGGTATGCCTGCGGCTAAACGTAAAATTAAGCAAATCATCGAAATAAACCGAATAGGGAATACATAGAATGTAAGGAATACCAGCAAGAAGTTACATAAAAGTTACGAAGAGAGACTTGGTTTCGATGAATCTCCTGAGATAAGATTGTGATATATGCGAAGAAAAGTTGGGTTTCGAGCAATCTCTTGTTTTATAATTGTCGAGCTTACTTCCAATTCGAGTGAAAGTGTTGGGTGAAGAGATTCGTAGGTCGGTTCCACCAGAAGAGGACGGCGGATTCCTCTTGACCAACTGTCGATTGGCTTTACTGGAGCATTCATGCCGACGCTGTTTCCGAGGTAATCTCCTTCGATTCCGGTGAAAAGGTGCTAAGTTTCCGTCCGTCATATGATGGACATCATCAGAGCGAGGTAACAGCATCACAACAAAATTCAAGCTAATTACATCTCTTAATCGTAGGCTTCCGTTGATCATGCTCCTCATTATTCCTATCTTTCATCTGTAGCTGTGATAAGACTCGAAATAGTGTACTATCCCGGCATATGGCATCCTGCTGAACTATCTTTTCTTGAGTGTCCCACTCTAGAGAATAACTTCAACATCCAAGATAGGTAAAAGCTTCTCCTCGACAACTTTCATTGTGAACTTGATCCTTTATATCCTTTTGGCTTATAAACTTGAGGAAATCGTCCAATTTTTCCGGAAAAATGACTATGAATATAGCAAATTCATAGTTCGATGCCGGAAATGGTCATGACCACTACAGCAGAGAAATCCGGACAAATTGTCTATATCTAGGTTTCGTTGGCAATACGACTAAGTTGTGAAAACGAGGTCAGAGCAGCTCTATTCCGCGAGCGAAGGTCGCGACCATAATAGAGGTTACACGATCTTGACCTTCATATTTTTCATATTTTAGAAGGCGAAACTTTCATTTCGTTTTAAAAGGCCTCACTTTGTGATCTAAATGAGGCCTTTCATGATTTGGTTGGTCACTATGTTCCTGACCTACATGAATGTATGCGAGTAAAGTTAATGCGAAAAGGAGAGCGGATGTGGCTGCAACCTTTATTTGTGTGAAAAAACTAGAGTATGATCCTGTAATCCTG